TGCATACATACATACATACGTACGTGCGTGCGTGCGTACATGTATGCATGCATGCATGCATGAATGCGTGCGTGCATATATACATATCTATACACTCACTACACACAAGCATATATATATATATATATACATCCATACATACATACATGTATACAGACAGACAGACAGACAGACATACAGACATACAGACAGACAGACAGGCAGACATACATACATACAGACATGCATACGTACATACATACATACATACATACATACATACATACATACATGCATGCATGCATGCATGCATGCATGCATGCACACATACATGCAGATATACATACATACATACATACATACATACATACATACATACATACATACATACATACATACACACATACACACATACATGCATGCATGCATACATACATACATGCATGCATGCATACATGCATACATGCATACATGCATACATGCATACATATATGCATACATACATACATACATACATACATACATGCATGCATACGTTCATACATACATACATACATACATGCATGCATGCATGCATACATACATATATACATACGTACATACGTACATACATACATATATGCATACCTATACACAGATACATACATGCATGCATGCATGCATACATGCATACCTACCTACCTATCTACCTACCTGCCTACCGACCGACCGATCTGCCTACATATACACATACATAAATACATACATACATGCATACATACATACGTACGTACATACATACATGCATACATACATACATACGCACATAAATACATGTACACACAGCACACACACACATAAATACATGCATGCGTTGTGCCACAAGACCGTAGGTTCGGCCTAAGATCGTACAGCGTGCGGTCCTCGAGGGACTAAGCATGCCCACTGAGAGCCCCTAGTGGGCCAAGGTCATCCACGGCGACAGCGCAACCGAAAACCGAGCGAACCGACAGCGAAGCCGAAGCCGAATCTGCTGAAATCAGCCAAGAGAGAAGCAACGACGCGGCAACGACGCCACGGTCAACCGAACCGAACCGACCGAATGCCACCGACCGCGAGGCAGCCCACCCAACCGAACCGCGGACACCCAGAGGGCAGCTACCGGACGACCCTGGAGGGGCCCCGAGAGAGCTCCAGGCTGGCCGAAGAGCACCTCCCGAGGGACCCGAGACGGCCTAAGAGGGCCCCCGGATGGGCCAAGACGATCCCGAGACGGCCCCACAGCGGCCCCAGTGAAGACCCCCCAGCGGCCAAGAGGGTCACGAGACAGCTTCGAAGACGGCCCAGGATGGCCCCAAGGCGGCTCGAGGGGAGCGGCCCAGGGACCTGCACGGCGGCCAGGTGCCCAAGACAGTCCCAAGACGGCCCAAACATACCTCAAGAGGGGTCTTCGAAAAGTCGAGCCTCGTGACGGCCGTCCGGGCGGTGATGGAAGGGCTCTAACACAGAGTGCTTCGCTGGCACGGTGGCGGACTTGCCGCAGGAAACTCCCCTTCTTTTTGTTGTCCTATCTCTCTCTCTTTCTCACCCTCTCTCTCGCTTTCTCTATGTTTCACTCTCTCTCTTTCTACAGATTGCCCTCTGCCTCATTTGTATACATGTATATAACTACAGAGATATACGTGTGTGAACACGTATCTGTGTAAGTGCCCATGTGCACATGACTGTATGTATGAATCCCTCTCCGTCTCTATCTCTGTATTTGTCTCCCGCTTTCTCTTTCTCTCTCTCTCTCTCTCGTTCTCGTTCTCTCCCTCCCTCCCTCCCTCCGTCTCTCTCTCTCTCTCTCTCTCTCTGTCTCTGTCTCTCTCTAAACTCTCTGTGTCTCTCTCTCTCTCTCTCTCTCCCTACCTGTCTCTCTCTGTCCATCTGCCTCCCTCTGTGACCCCCTTCTTCCCACCTCCCATTGAAACGTCTGCCAGTGGGCGGGATTGCGGAGCAGGGTGGAAAATCTAATAAAAAAGGCTGGCTACTGGGACGATAAATGCGTACGACTGCGCACACCAGAACGATGCGCGGCCGTCAAATTACAGGCTACCAGCAGCCCCACAAACTGTTGTGTGGGAGTACAACCGCTGCCTCCGGCGAGCGTCTACTCGACGGTAACACTTTTCGCAAGATTCCTTGGCTGGTCTATGCTACAGCCGCGCATGTCGGCGATATGGTACGACAAGAGCTGCAACGGGACGACTGATAACAATGGTTGGAATTCTATTTTCGTGCAAGGACAATGGATAACAAAACTCGCAATCCGCTTAAAATCGTCATTGCCCTCGTCTGTAATGACTATGAGGGCCGCGTCCTTCGAGCCCAACTCACTTATGTGTTCCTTGATGTGGCTATACGAGGGGTCTGACGACATGGCGATTACAACAACTGGCATAAACCCCTTGATCAAAGTTGTGGGGGCATGTCTGATCTCCGCTGCCGTGAAGCCCTCGGCATGGATGTAGGAGATCTCTTTCAATTTCAGTGCCCCTTCCAAGGCTACGGGAAATTGGGCACCACATCCGCAGAACAGACAGGTCGATGCCAAGCGGAGGTACTTGGATATGCCGTGGACCTGCTCGTTCAAGGGTTTTAGCCAGCGCTCGATCAAGTCCGGCACCGAACTCAAGCTCTCGCAGAAGCCCGTCATCTCATCCTGGAATGAAGGGGACAAGAAGGATTCTAACGCAATCCCCACTTGCGCGTCTGAGAATTCACGAGGGCGGATTTCAAGCCGTCCACGGTGACAGCGCAACCGAAAACCACCGAACTGATAGCCAAGCCGAAACGACCGAAACAAGACATACTGGAAGCGGCCAGGAGGGAAACAACGACGCGGCAACGACGCCACCCGACAGAACCGAACCGATCTAACGCAACCGACCGCAACGCAACTGGACCGACCGATCCGCGGACACCCGTGCAAATGTGACGCCTGCTTAAGTGAGAACATCAACAAGCCTCGATGCCCCACATCCTCCTCTTCCTCCTCCTTCTCCTCCTCCTCCTCCTCCTCCTCCTCCTCCTCCATTTCCTTTCATTGAAATCAATCCTCCCTCTCACACCCCGAGGCCGATAGAAAGGGTGGGCCGAGCGTTTCGCCATTACTCTGAAGCTAAGAAATTGAAAACAAATTCACACATGGCGGGCGGGTCGTTTTCAAAATGTGGTTCTCGCCTTAGCGCCGGGCACAAACGTCGTGAAAGACACCAAACTTTGACGACTGGGGGCAGGTGTTGTCCGAAATGGGTTCTCGCACTGGCGCGGCGCGCACAAGCGTGCTAGAAATTTGCAAGATTTTCACGGATTGGGGGCGGGTGGTTTTCAAAATGCGGTTCTCGCCTTAGCTCCGCGCACACTCATTTGTCACAGTTTCACGGATTCCCATGGTCAACGTACCAGACACGGTGTTGGGGAAGGGTTCAGGATTGCCAGGGCGCAACAGTTACGCGGATTCGCTGTGGTGAAGTCCCGGGAATGGTGATCTGGCACGATTCAGGATCGTCAAGGAGCAGAAATTAGGTTCATTCATGGCGCTG